TTTTTCTCAAGAATTTTATAGCTCTGAGCTTATAACTAAATATTGAGAATGGAGCAATTCTCAATGGGACAAGGAATATGTCTTAAAAATTTAAATTGACTTGTGGGTATGATATGACAGAGTCTGTTAGCTATATATTTTGAATCTTGAATTTACATTTGGAACACCTTTGAATAATATTTTAAATGGCAAGAATTCTCCCCTATTTCTCTGTATTAAAATTGAACTTGTGAAGTTGCAGGTCATTTGTGAAGCAGAGCTACTTGTGCTACCAGACTGAATAAATGCCTTGTGCACTTTTCTTAGCGCATGAAATTTTAGGGGCCAATACGACCATATCACCAAGATAAAGAACCCTCTGCAAAGCTTAACTGTAACCACAGAGGAGAAAAGAAAACTTCAAAACCTCTTTTATGCTTCAGGCTCAGCTGCAAAGCTGCAAAATGGAAGCTGACCTGTGCTAAAAAACAAAACTGCGGTTAAACTTCAAGACTGGTTTGTAGCTCTTGGCTTTCAAAAACAGGATGATTTTACAAAACATGCATGTGTGAGAAGTACAAGACATTACTCATTTCACTACCCATGCTTAATAACCGTAAAACCACAATTTCTTTCTGTACTTTTTGTTCTAATAAATAAATTAATTAATTAACTATTACCACCTTCTATGTCATCAGTAAAGTAATCTATCAAACCTTCACAGACTACTAGATGGTATCGCTTTATCTGTTGTTTTTTTTGCATATGCATTTTGCCCATGTGTTCTGGATTTTAAGATGGAGCTGACCCATATAAACAATGTCAATCCGAGCCTTTCTCAGTGAAGGCACTTCCATTTTCACTTTGTAGGACAAACATTTTCTTAATGAAAGTGATTAACTTTCAAAAGCAAAGCAGCCTTCGCAGTGCAGCGACTTGAACAAGTCAAATTGCTCGAATGCAAGGAGATCTGCATTTTGTTTTTCTTTTGATTGTTTAAATACAGGACAGCTGCAAATTCAGTGAACCTTTCCAAGAGTTGTACGAGTATTTCATCTTGGGATGAAACTGGGGAAATTATCTGTCCTGATTGTTCAGTGATGTACTGGCATTCCATACCAGAAATTGTCCTCCAGGATGGGAATAGTTTCCTAATGTAAAAGGATGCATGGAATCTGATCTGTTCCACACATTCTGACATCCAATATTATATTGGATTTTCCACTTCAAAACCATGCTGCACAACAATGCTTCCAGTTTTTGGTAGGTTTTTACCAATTGTGTGGTTTGAACATCTCGGCACACAACACTGGGCCCTGCAACCTGGCAGTGGAGGGGAATCAGGACATTTTGGCAGGTTCTTCTAATCTTCCCACCTGAGCTGCTCGTTTTTAGCACTTCACAGGTTATGCTTCCCTGTACAGATGGTTCAGCATTGATTGGAGGAGGAGGAGGCACAACCTCCACAACCTCCCCACGAGTCTGCATGCACAGTCAGCTGGTGACATGGCCTGGTCTCAAACCTATGACACCTGGATCATAGAGCCCAACTTGTATTGTATGACTTTATCCATCTAATGATTTATGGGAATGCTGTTTGTCACACTTTGTTATTCTCATTATCCAAACCAAAATTGAATAGGATAAGCATCATTAAATATGTATTCATGTAGTGCATGACACAGTGGTGCAGTTGCAGTGCTGTGCATTGCTGCCTTGGGGCTGTGGATTCAATTCCTAGCCTGGAGTGCTCTGGTTGCCTCTCACAGTCCAAATGCATACTGGTAGGCTAATTGGCTTCTGGGAAAAAAAAGGGTCTGGTGTGAGTTTGTGTGTATGCCCTGTAATGGACTGGCATCCCATCCAGGCAGTACCCTACCATGCACCTGTTGATTGCCAGGATAGACTGTGGCTCCCACGTAATCTTGTGTTGGATAAGTTAGAAAATGGGTGGAAGGGTTATTCATGTAAATGTGAATATGCAGGTACACATAATTCAAATACTCTCTCTTTGTGTGTTTAAACGTCTAAAGGAAAAATAAAACAGTGATTATCTGTGACCATATCTCTCTAATGAGACATAGGGATGATGTCAGAATATTTGAATGCGGGGGTGATTTTTTCGTTGCTTCAGATTTCTGAGAATTGACTAGGCTGTGCATTCATTATATTAGCATTTATGCATTCCTGCTTGTGAAAACCAAGATTATCATCTGAGGGAATAACATATTGCTGAAAATAGAAAACAAATCTGATATGAAAAGTACATTTTAGCATTGTGTATACAATATATTGTTGGGAATCATCTTTCTGACACTCATTAACCAAACATCGTACTGTCTTAGTAGTACATATTCCCTTTCCACTTGTCCACCTGGAGCCAAAAATCACCAGTACTGAGAAGTGTTCTCATTTTCCTTCATGATACCATAGTAATTGCCATATGCAAGAGATTACAAAATATATCAACTCATGAAAATGCGTTGTTCTACAATTAAAGCTGCTGTTGTTTGTTTCCCATCACTACAGCCACCATCTCCAGTTTTTTACATTCTATCTCAGAGCTTCCTGAATCATTGGATTTTCCAAGCCTTTTTGTTTCCCCTTTTTCTGTAATCCATCTGGGTTTGTTACTCACTAAATGGTCTATATCCAGTTGCCCCAGCCACTGATGTATTCTCTTACAGATTAATTGAAACATCATCATTTCTTCTTTCCATTCCTTAAAAATGGTTTCTAATATTCTTCTGATTTTAATGGTTAAGTGCATCTAGCTTCTAAGTACCTTTGCAATTGGCTGTGTTTCAATGAGTTACATAGGTATGCTGATTACCTTGTACACATTGAGTTTGGTCTTGAGAGAGATGTTTTTCAGTTGCCACAAGTTTTAAATTTTCCAAAACTGGCGTTTGGCTGTCTATTTCTTATTCTTACTATTGTGGAACTGCCAAATATCAGTCTACTTCAGCCTCAGATAATCAGTATGACCTGAGGAGCATCATCTTACAATTGAAGTGTTTAAATAGGTTCCAGGATATTTGTCTGACATCCGATGAGTTGTATGGTGCCTGATAATATACATTTGCTTTTACCTTACAAGCAGTAACAAACCTACTAACAATTTCTTGTAAAGTTAAAGTTAAAAACACATGCAAGAAGAAAACATTACAGTCTTTGTTTCTGAATGTTAATTTATATATTTATAATATTTTTTAATAATCTTCAACTGTGTCTAGATCTTTAACATCTATCCACATCTCTGTGGAAAGATGATTCAAAATATACAGTTACATAGTAAGTCAGTAATATTACCTCACAAAAAGATACATTTTTGATGATGCATTTGTATTGTTTGCTATTGGGACTGTCTTAAAAATAGGGCCCCAGGTGACTAGTGAGTTTCTGCTATGTTAGATAAGAAACCAAAATAAAATTAAATTTGAACATGCAGTGGAGATATCTAAAGGCTAGTTGATTAGTGCTTTATTTTGATGATATTTTCACTGATGTTTCTAGATTTGGCATTTTGTTCAGCCAAAGATAATGATTATGATTATCAATAATGTTTTGTCACCATTATAATTTCATTACAAGAATGATCATGATGATTAACTTTTGTCCCAACCCAGAAGAGTCCTAGGGAACTTGGTATATTTATGGGCACTATTGTTGTCCAGATATAGGCACTCCCTAGCTTACATCACACTGTACTTTCATGTCATCTTTACTTAAGACCACTGTAAAGTAAATGAAAAATGTTGATTTGTGATTAATTTTGTGTGATTGTTTTTTAAAGATTCAAATGTTGGTGAGAACTAGTTACACTTACACAGTACCTCCTTAAATAACATATTCTGTGTAATTCCTGAGTTTTTATTTTTCCTTAACTTAACTTAGTAAATATTTAATTCATGAATGATTTTATCTCATTTAATTTCAGAATGTGTAAAATGTATTGAAAATGTGTTCACTTGAGCTTGGCAGTGCTTTGGTAAGGCGTCATGAGTCCAAGTTATGTAAAATGACTTAAAGTACAGTTTCTAGTCCCAAATTCTTACATAAATTGAGGACTGTATTATGGATAATACAGTATATATATCCACATATTGCTTTATACTAAACAACATTTATACTTTGCTTATCTTTGACGTTTTGTAGTATTGAGATGTCAAGATGTCTTTAATAATAGATGTTTTTTGTTTTTATTTACAAGTAAATATGATACAGAGGCACCTGGGCATACCTTTATATTTAATTTACAGATTGGCTCTAATTAAAATATGAGTGATCAGATACATTGGAAAATAAAATATGTGCCTTCCTATACCTTATGTCTCAGAAAAATATTATATTCAATAATCTGGGTCTTGGTACAGTTGTTAGCATTCTTGCCTATCTGTAAGGAAGTTAGAACACTCATTTTTTCTTTATTTTAATTTGTTCTGTCCTGAAATTGATACTATTTGGAGCTAAAATACATACTTTTGAAAATGTGTGTATAAATATCTGTGTTGAAAATAAGACTGAAATTTTCTTAATACACAGGGAACAACTCGTATTTTAATTAACCAATATTTACCCAAATTAATTTACTGACTAGTGATAAAATCAATGCATTTCCTGTGTGATCATATCATCACACTAAATTAAAATGGTTTCTGTTGATGTCCTACCATTCTGAACCATCATATTGCTCAATTCACAGTGAGGTTTTTAGGATTAAATACATACGACAGAAACATATAAAGTCTACCTCTAGAGACAAAAATAATGGCTCAAGATAGCATTTACATCAGAACACTATCTGCAAATAACATTAACTGCACACTGACAAGATGTACTTATGTTCTCAGTTGTGCTGGGAGTGCATTTTTAATGTTTTTTGTTGTTAGACTTCTCTGTTTTCCATAGATCACATTTCAAAATCCCAGTTGATATGTCATAGTTGAGAATTGTTTTTTTTATTTACTACATTTGCTGTGTAAACTTACAGAAGTGCTTATTTTCTTCTGTCTCCATAGATCTATGAGAAGTCTTTCAAGCCTACTGAACAAAATGAAGGTGAACACCCTGTAGACTTTCTTGGAGAATCCATGAAACCAAAGCACCAGCCCAGAAGCACTCAGCACCAACTCGATTGGTCAAAAACACCAGTGGGGGGAACAATCTCCCAGGGCAGTCTGACCGAAACAGAATCTAAAAGAGAGCCAACGGTAGTTAACAAGAGTTCTTTTCCAGATTCTGCAAATGGTCTTGCCAAACCACAGCAAAAAAAGGTCACTGGGAGCCCATCTGTAACTCACTTCAGTACTGGATTGTCCAGCCAAGTGAGTGGCTCTCTAGTTCAGCCAAGCTCCATAGCTAGTATGCCACAGATGCCCAACCAGTCAGAAAGTAGTCGGATGATCCTCAACTCTTTAAACAAAGATAGAGTGGTACAGGAGGCAGCTGAGCCAATATTTGGAAACATTAAGAGGAAGTATGGCAGGAAGGACTCAATGAGGAGTCTGGTAGCTCAGAACCCAGAAGCACAGTGGGGCAAAAAGGCTGAAAAAGATTTTGATGCTAAAATCCCAGAGACTATAAAAGAAAAAGAAGTGCATGAACCTGAAAAAACAGCAGAATCACCCTGTGGGAACAGTGAAAGCTCTGGAAAGGTTCTGGAGAAGGAGGGAGACATCATACCAGGAGCTGTTCCTCTGCAGATAGAAGACTCCAAAGGTTATCCTGGGAAAAAGAGACGATATCGACGATCATTCAAAGATCAGCTTCCTGTGGAGAATTTATTGGAAGAAATTCAGACTTCTGATTTGGCTGAGAAGAATGATGTAGGCAACAGAGGTCTGCCTGAGCCAAAAGCTGCCATTATCAACAAGACTGAGTCAAGAACATCTAAACTGATGGAGAAAGAAGGACCACATGAGGCAGATGAAGACAATACAGTGTCTGTCACTGAATTCTCTGAAATGTGTAGAAACAGACTTCGAAAGCCATTGCCTGTGGTGAGACCTAAAATGGTTCTTGATTCAAACCAGGCTATAAACAAGGAGGACAATGATAAACTACCAAAACCAAAGGCCAAGGCAAGGTGGTCTTACATCAAGTCCAAAAATTGCAGCCTCCAGAAAGATGACAGCAGTCCAGCTGCAGTTGTTGCAGAGCCTCCTTCAGCCTATCCTATTACACCCTCCAGCCCACTGTACACTAATACTGACAGCTTGACAGTTATCACACCTGTGAAAAAGAAGCGTGGGCGCCCAAAAAAGCAGCCTCTACTCACGGTTGAGACCATACATGAGGGAACTTCTACTAGTCCTGTAAGCCCTATTGCTCGGGAGTCACCTGGCTCTTTGAAGAAAAGGAGAAAAAAACGTAGTTTGATAAAGCTGGTGCAAATTGCTGCTGCAAATGCATCCCCAGCTAACCAGATGAAGCTTAATAAAAAAGTAGGCAATTTAGGGATCCTGGATAAGAAAACCATAAGGACAATTAACAAGATGAAAATGGTAAAGAGGAAGAATATATTGAATGAGATTTATAGCAATCTGGCTCTGCAATCAAAGGTTCCCAGGTCAAATGTTGTTTCAACTATGGCATCAACTATTGAGGCCCGTTTGGGTAAGCAGATCAATGTGAGTAAACGAGGGACTATTTATATTGGCAAAAAGAGGGGTAGAAAACCTAGAGCTGAGGTGCAGGTCCAGCAAGATGAGCACAAAACCAGTGATAAGCACCCGGTGCCTGTTCCTAGCCAGTTTGAGAACCCAGTAGTGCCTTGCAATCCACAGCCCACAGCTGGAATGCCTTCTCCCAGAGCTACACAGCCTTCTGTTGCCCACGCTGCTGGAACTGGTGGGCTTCTCTGCCCTGCCACAGCAGACACCAGCCTGCAGGAGCTGAAGACCATGCCAAATCTGCAGCCTATTAGTGCATTGCCCACTAAAGCCCCCAAAGGCTTACACAGCAGCAATTGGAAACTTTCTCCACCTAGACTCATGGCGAACTCCCCTTCTCATCTGTCAGAGGTAGCTTCCCTCAAAGAGGTAACATTGTCTCCTGTAAGTGAGTCTCACAGTGAAGAGACAATCCCCAGTGACAGTGGGATTGGCACAGACAACAATAGTACGTCTGACCAGGCTGAGAAAGGCCCCGCATCTCGCAGGAGGTACTCTTTTGACTTCTGCACCCTTGAGCCTTCTGAAGCTGCTGCACTGGAGGCCAGCAAGAAAGCCAAGAGAGGGCACTGTTCCAAGCATGTAACAGCAGTAGCAGTAGACTCTTACCTAGCCCATGAGAGCCTGAAAAAACAGAAGCATCGCCGTAAGCGCAAGGGTCTGCAGAGCCGAGATGATCTTCAGTTTCTGGCTGACCTTGAGGAGCTTATTGGCAAGTTCCAGGTCTTCCGCGTCTCCCATCGGAGCTATAGCTTCTACCATGAGAACTCGTATCCTAGCATCTTCCGGATAAACTTTGACCACTACTATCCTGTGCCGTACTTTCCTTATGACCCACTGCACTACCTTCGCAGGAACTCTGAGATGAAGTCTAAGAAGAGACGTGGCAGGCCGGCCAAAGCCAATGAGCCTATGACGAAGATGCCTTTTCTCCAAGGGTTCGGCTACCCGATCCCCAGTGGCAATTACTATGCACCCTATGCAATGCCTTATACGTCGATGCCTATTGCCACCAGTATGATGAACTTGGGTTACTATGGTCAATATCCAGCTCCTTTATATTTGTCCCATACTCTTGGGGCAGCAACGTCTCCTTTTATTAGGCCAGCAGTCCCGCCACCCCAGTTTCATTCTGGTGCTCATGTAAAGTTGACTGCTGCTGCCAAACACAAAACCAAACACAGCTCCCACCAGATGCCCTCTACTGGCATGGATGAAGCCCAGTCGTCTTTAGTGGCTCCCAAAGTTGGTGCCAGCAGCTTGCCAAGTGGCCGCCTCCACAAACGCAAACACAAGCACAAGCACAAACACAAGGAGGATCAGCTCTCGAGCTCCCAGAGGGAAGACCTAGGCGGACTCTTCAGTGGAGCAAAGAACCCCAGCTATTTGAGCCTTCTGAGCGAGAGGCTTGGGATGCCTGACAAAGAGCCTTCTTTGCCTAAACATAAAGACAAGCAACGGAACCAGCAAAGCACAGACACTCTGCAAAGAAGTTCCAGGAACATCTTTGAGGTTGATACCCTCTCTACCTTGTCCCTCTCTGATTCACAGCAATGGAAACGCACCCGCGAACGAACTGAATCTGCAGGTGACTTCCACAATGCCTGCACCCGCCAGCATGCTGAAACCATTAGGACCAGTTCTGACCTGTTTGGGGAGCTGCAGTCTTCTAGGGATGGTGAATCTGGCATGAACAGTCGAAGACGGAGTCTGGAAAGCTTTGGGATATACAGGGAGCAAAACATTGTCCCATTTAAGAATGGCAGGAAGGAGAAGGTGCAGCAGATGTATAATTGCCCGAGTCCTTCATTGACAGGTAAAATTTATTTTTAATACTCAGACTATTTATTTTCTTTAGGTGCTTGTATTATAATACATTTCTCATGTAAGATTCATTATGATATTATGTACAATTATTATTATGGTTTTAGCTTTTATGCCATCAATTTACTCCACAAATCTTTTACTTGAATATGAACTAATGTGAATTAAATTGTACATTTTAGGCAGAATATGGATAAGGTGTTAGCTTGGCATCTTTTAAATTTGATGTGCGGTTTTAGTATTGATTTGCAACTAATTAAATATTAATTACTATATTGACTAATGTACTTTAAATTTACTGTACTATGCTGTCTTATTTTGAAATGTCACCTAACGTTCCCTCACTCAATTAAAAAAAATTGTTATAGAAAATATAACAAAATATTAATTCACCACTGTCACTAAAACCTTGAAAAAGAAAGGTTAGTTGGTCTTTTCACTGTTGTCTTTTCCAAGGCAATTAGAATAAATGAGCTTAGCATGAAAGTGGTTTAGATTTACATTAATACATTTACTAGGCTTACACCCTTTTTTTTGCTTTAATATTTAGTCTGCAAGTATTCTACTGCAATCATCTGTTTCCTCACAGATGTTTTAAATAAATCATCCACACCTCACAGCACTTTGTTTCAGTGAAATTACACAAAATTAAATGTTAAATTTGCCCAGTAACAGTTCTTCACAATTCTGCACAAAAGGATTTGACATTTTTATGTTTTTTTTATCCTGCAGATAAAACAAACAACAAAAATTAAAGACTTCTGAGTCCAGTAAAATTGCATGTATTTAAAGCATCATAGCAGGTAAAATTAAACAATTGTAAACCGAGGAAGACAAGTATGATATCGACATTACTTTTTTTTTCTCTCCTACCAGTGGTCTACTAGAGATATATTATTAACACATTTTGATTTATTTTCTACAGACGTGTAATAAAAAAAGCTCCTTGTGTTAAAAGAACTGGAAAGCAGCCAGCAGTTTAATGAATCCGGCCTACTCCACTGAAGGGAATTGGGAGCCCTGGGCTCAGTTAGATTACATTCCCACTCCCTTGAGGAGGGGGGGGGGGGTGAGTCACATTCTGCTTCCCCCACCCTCACCCCCAACCTCCTTGCTTGCTGCTGCATTTGGCAGATCCACCTCTTATCAAAATGGAAGAATTGTTTCTATAGGAAAAGCCAGCAAAGTAGATATGTTACAGTTACGCTCTTGACTTGTCATTGAGAAATATGTCAGAAATGTTCATTAATTTGATTTTTTTATAAAAATGCTTTCGAAATTAATTTAAGGAAAGAAACATTAAGTCTTAAATCTTGCATGTTCATTGTTTATTTATTGCATGATAATATATAAAATAAAGACGGATCTTCACCCATAAAATGTGCATATTCCTGACTTATCAGTTTATCAGGCTAAAATACTTTGTTTTAATTTGGAAACCAAGGAGTACAAAATAATGCCATTTTTATCCTTTAGAAGTTCATTATCGGTCTAGATCTAGATATTGAATTACTTGTTTAATTTACAGTCCAGCTTCTTATGTAGATGGTATTTGATTTTAATAGAGTTATTAAAATTTCAGAGTTATGTGTGTACTGTATGACAGTGTTTTCTTTAAAAAAAATATGTATCCTATAAAAAAGTACAATAGCAGAAGTGGAAATTTAATGTTAGTAAAATATTTAAGTGTGAATTATTTGATTATTCAAATAAATAGTCATGATGTGACTTTCAAAGATGGAAAATTTAAGACTCATGGAAATGATAAAGTCCAAACGATTGCTACATCTATGGGTAACTTTTGTCTGCAATTATGCCTAATGAAAAAATTAACTTGAATAAAACTGAATGACAGAAGCTATTTTAAAGGAAATTGGAGCAGTGCAGACATAAAGAAGTATTGTGTAAATTAATGTTGCCATGTCACAATGTTGAAAATAGTAACTGTACTGCAAGGCACTAAAAACACTTCAAATGCTATTGGTTCCAATACTATTTTTTGTGTTTAGAATGTTTTGCTGTAAAACAAAATTCTTCTGTAATGAGAAGTGAACACAGAACTCTGTTGTCTTTGCTAACTGAATATACTGTAGATAATACTTTGTTAAAAAAAAAGCTTGTGAACGATGTATTAAACCATAGCAACATTTGGACAAATGAAAATGGTAAAAATGTTGCGTCAGCTATTAACGTGGCTCTTAAACATAGTGTCTTCTAGAATGAAATACATTTTCAAGAGTATAAACTAAATTGACCTAGTAGGAAGCTTTTGAGTTTGTAAGAGCCCACATGTTGCTTTTAATTAGCTGTTTTATACGCAAGGAATAGCAGAGTAAAGCCATTCTAACATTGTTCATCATTAATCGTTTGATCAATTAGAAGAGTTCTTTAATGAACTGTATTGAAGCCTTTTGTTGAGGTAAAATACCTGTTAACATAGTCAAGGAACCTGAAACACAGCTCAATTAATTTATCTTCTTGGTAGAGGGGGGGAAACTGTCTATTGAAAAAGAAAACTGTGAAATGATCCATTATTACAAACTTTCTTCAACACTATTTGCACATGTTGGACTCATTCTCATTTATTTATTTTTATAGAGGCATTTGTGGGATTCCTCTTTTGGAGCTATTACTCCTGTTCATCCGAAAAGTCATTGTTTTAGTATTGTACTTAAAATTAAATTTCTTGGTTGTCAGGGAAAATTGATAGGACTTTCCAAGGATAATCAATATTTCTTCATTTACTTCCTTGCATCAAGAGTTCTATATATCATATGTTGGCCTAACAGTGAGCTCCAAAATTTGAATCTGCAGAAAACTGAACTACACCAAAATGTGACCAAACTTTTTGATGTCTCCCTGTTTTCTTTACTAGATAAATGAAAAGTGGGGTTTGCTTTAGGACTGAAACATTTTTTTTACCGCTGTGCCTTCTACACATTTACAGGTATACTTGTGCAGTGAACTGTTTAAAATTGCAAATGAGTTTTGGTGTTTCAATTCAGGAAACACGTTTTTTAGTACAAATAAAATGAAACCTAGACAAAAGTCCCAGGCAAGAAAGACATTGCAGAAGCTTTTCTTGCAAAAAACTGGGAACTCTGGTTGACGCCTTTGCTGCAGCTCTGTGGTTGAGAGGGAGGTTAAATGTTTCTCTGAGGTCAGCTGTATTGCTCTTTCAAGAGTACTTTAAACCAGGACTGTGTTGTATAACGTATGTAACGGAAATAGGATATTGATTCAAGTACTGGTTGTACATTTGATTTTCAGTTCACACAGTACTTCTGAATTCTCTGCAGATAGCCGTCTGTTTCAGTTCCTGTGTGCACTCATGTCCCCTGAGGTTCTCCTTACTGTCATCTTGTTGTTTGCTCCCTGGAGTGAGCTGCTAAAGATAAGAGTACTGTGCAATCCACCTATTGATGTCTTCGGGGAAGGCTGTGTGAGGTGGAATGTTAGCAAGAGTTTCAAATAAAATCTGTGGGCCTTTTTTCCCCCCCCACATAGACATGTGTATTTTTGTGTTTTGTAAGCTGCATTAGAAGATCTGGGAAATTTGAATCTTCAAATGCTTTTTTATTTCCACTTGGTTTCTTCACTAAGACTGATGTTTCATGGAAACAGTTTTATGTAAAACGTTAAGCTTTGTATATAATTTCATATACCTATTTGAGACTAAATAAACTAGACAAGTAGAAGGTAAATGTAGTTATTTGGAGAGAAAAATCCAGACTAGTCTAGGGAGAGCTGTTTATCTTTACTTACAGGAAATCATTCCAAAGATTTTCCTGAGCTTTTATAGCTTCTTTCTCATTCAAGCTGTCCATGACCTATTACTCATGACTCATGTTAAAAGACCTCTAAAATCATCTCTCCTGATTACATCCTGCACAAGTCTATAGTTGTAGAACCGAGTGGAACGACTGTATTTGTATCCAATTTATTTTTAGCAAGGACAGTAGTGGCTAATGGCTAATCAGTCAGATTGGTACATCAGTTTCTGAGCAGGTTTGATTGCTCTTTTTGAAAACAGGTAAGGTTAAACTTTCATCTCATCCACGCCTTGGTGCTGCAGTTAACATTTTTAACACTATTGTTTCTTGGAAACTTTTGAACATATTTAAATATTAAAATATGAAGTATTCACAACTGTGGGACAATTTTATCTGAGGTTCGCAAGCCACACTTGTACTATTTTAATTATGACCAAAAAAGAGCATGTTATTGAGCTAGAACACCAAAGCGGAGGTGAAAGGTCACCTTTGTTTATCTGTTTTGCTCTCTCAAGGTCAGTAATTGACCAGTGATGTCTCCAAACAAATGATAAGCCATGTGTAATAGAAAATATTGACTCGACCTCAAAGAAGAACTCTGCAGAGTACCTGTCTTTGACCTTTCAATATCTTTCAGAAGTCAATAAAAACATAACTAGAATCTGTGCTTTGACACTAAATTTGTTCAGGGAATATTTTAACCTTGAACTCAGGGCTTTGGTTTCCATGACAACAGGAAGAAGGCCTCTGCATTCAAGAGGGGAGCTAGAGGGAGAGCAGAAGCAAGTCCATAAATCAGTGTCCCTAATGAAAACATGGTGTGCAGGCTGCAGGTAGAGATTTCAGGGGATAAATGGCTTGTGACGGTCCCTTTGAAAATTAATGTCTCTTGCACATGATTTGTTGGCACTGGGGAAGGCTGCATAAGGTTTTTTTGTGTTTAATGGAGGTCAGGGAGCAAGCAGAAGGCTTAGGTTTTGGGGGAAGAGGCAGGCTCACCAGTTCTTTGATTAAAAACAAATGAAAATTCTGTCACATTGCATAGGTCTCCTATGTATTTTTTATTGTTTCCTATTAATGCTTTTAGTTTTATGTATTCTGAGCACCATGAAGAAACTTGCCTACTACAGCCACAGCAATTGCAAAAAATGTTCAAGAACATGACAGTGTTTGTGGTCACCACTGGGAGGATACGGTATGTGACAGCTACTTTGCACCA